TCTGCTTGCTCCCCAGGTACCTGCTGGGGATGGGGCTGTGGCAGCTGGTTTGGGGCACCTGTGGGGGGAGCAGGGTGTCCCCCTCGGACTGGGGACACTCCTGCTGCACAGGGGGCTCAGTGTGGGACACATCCTCCCTCCTGCTGTTGCCACCCCTTCGATGGGGCAGAGCCTGGGGATGGATGGAGCAGGAGCCTGCTGTGCCCTCCATGTCCTTCCTGTCCCCTCCGTGTCCTTCCTGTCCCCTTGTCAGGGTTTTACAGCCTGTCAGGCACTGCTGTGGCTGCATGGGACCACTGGAGCTCATCCCATTACCCACCCATGGGAGCTGGGCTGGGGACATCCCCGCTTGTCCCCACCGGGAGCCGCTCCTCTCCGCGGCTATTAACACCCCGCGATGATCATCAGCTCTCGTCGTAATCATTAAGACTATTAGAAAGAAATGTTGGCTCGCAGCTCGTGTCAGACTTTCCGTTCTGCTTTGCAAACGCGCACAATTAATGCCAATCAGGCGGGGGAGGCAGCCAGCTCCGATCCCCGGCTGCTGCTCCCAATCGCGGCTGTCAGCTCCTCTCCCCATCCCGCCTGGTACATTTTCATACAATTGCTACAAACATCTGAGGGGAAACTCCGTGTTCTTCGGCAGCGCTGAGTATTGTTCTCTGTTCCTTTTAATTACTCGGCATTCAGCGGCTCATCCGGCCTCCCGATCTCGGTGGGGGAAAGTAGGGATTTGTAAAACAAATAGAGAAATCTGGAGAGATGCCTTATTTTCCCATTCAGCAGCTGCCTTAGGTTGTCTATGGCTAAATAAGAAAAACCTGTTTAGTTTTTCTTTGTCTTTTTTCTTCCTCCCCCTCTCAAATTGCTTTCTCCCCACTAGGACACAGCCTGGTCCCTCTCCCCAGGGAACCCCAAAAGCAGGGTGAGCTTGGGAGAAGGGGGGGAAGAGCTGGAATTACTTGGCCGGATGGTGGAATAATCCTTGTTACAAAAGTACACATCAATTATAAGAATTCCTACAGTAATCTTGGAAATCTATCTTTTCTGCTGAACCAGCTCATTAAAGAGCACCATTCATTTCCATCTCTCCGGGTGAGAAGGGTTTAAATCTCCAGAGCTTTGTGTTACCACATAGACTGAGGGTGATGGACTCGCGTTAAATATTAAAAGGAAGAAGTTGATTTTTTATTTTTTTCCCCTTTTTTTTCCCCCCCAGACCGGCAGTGCAGACAAAGTGGAACGTAAGGAAAGGAGAGTGAGGGGACCCTGCTGTGAGAAGCTTTCCCAGCTGTTGGTGGGCGACACAGAGCTGTGCTCAATGGGTGCCTTTGAGGACCCCCCACTCCTCCCTTGGCCTGGGGACCCCTCCAGATCTCAGGGAGGAGGGAGGGAGCCAGGGAGGTTTCCCCAGGCCACCCTGGCAAGCCCCCGAGCCTGCGCTGGAGCCGGCCGTGGCACAGGCAGGGCTTTTGTGTGCCGTGGGCGGCTGTGGGCTGAGGGATGGGCACAGAGCCCCTTTGTGTGCAGCTGTGAGCAGAGCAGGATGTGGGATAGGGCCCAGCCGTGGGGATGGGGAGCTGGTAGCCAGGGATGAGGAGAGGTGGCCGTGGGTGAGGAGGAGGAGCGGGGATGGAGAGCAGCGGCCGGCCGGGGCGATGTGTGCGCTGCGCCGGGGCTCTGTGCAAACATGTTAATTTGTTTTCTTTCTTGCCTCGCCTTTCAGGGTAATTGGTTGCATTTGAAGCCTTTGTGAAAGCCTTTGATTATAGTAATTTCAGCAGCGCGATCTACCCTGGATTCCTTCGTCAGATTCTTTCACAGCTCTGGCTCTTGGGGCTGTAATTACGGAGCGGAGCGCACCCGGCTGCCGAGTGTGGGGCAGCTGGATGGGGCACCGTGGCCATGGGGGCACAGGGATGTCACTGCAGGGGACAATCAAACCCCTGGGGTGAGGCAGGAGCGAGCCAGGATGGGACAGGAGCTGCGATGGGCAGCTTTGCTCTCTGCACTGCTGAGTTTGTTGGGTTTCAGCTGGAGCTGTAGATGCTGCCAGTGCCCATGGTGTGGTTGCCCATGCTGGAGTTGGCTCCTGGCTTGTTGGGCTCCAGAGTGCTTTTAGTTGCTGCTGCATGGAGCCACTTGGCTTTTCTGCTGGTTGATCCCAGGTCTGTGCTAGAGCTGGGACTAAAGCCCGTGAGCATCCCAAGATCCATGAGGGGCAGCTCCCCAGTCCATGTGCAGGAGGAAGGCACGGCATGACTGTGCCCCATCAGTGAGGTTTTGCTCTGAGGAGCTGGTGCCACATCCGAGGGGCCACGTCTGTGCATGTCTGGCAGGACCTGGCAGATCCTGCCCGCCCGCTGCGCGCTGGCCCTGCCGGGACCTCGCTGCACACAGCCAGGGCTGAGCCCTGCCAAAAACACCGACGGCACCCGAGTGGGGCCCTGACCTTTGCTAACAGGGCTGCTCCCCCCCCTTGCTCCTGGGATTTTGTTCCCAGTCCCACGTAATGACCTTCTCGGCAGCGCCGTGCCAGCGTCTGCCACTTCCAATTACCCACGGCTGCTCGGCGCCCGCCGCAGCACGCGGGGCTCCTTCCTCCCCGGCAGGATGGCAGCAGGGTGGAGGATGCTGCGCCCTGATCCCGGCTTGGAGAGCCTCAGGAACCCCCCAAAAGCACCCAGGGCTCTGGGGTCCTGCCCCGGGCTGCTGGAGGCGCTTGGCTTTCCAGAATCATTATTAACCTGTTCGAGAGCCATTCCCGCTCGCAGCGAAAATAGATCTTTAATCTCTGCCCAAAATAGCTCATTTGATGAGAGGCCTCCTTAAAGCTGACACATAAATTTAACCAGGCCGCCCGAGCCCTGCGCAGGGACGTCTGCAAATGCTCAACAGCACTCGAATTGTTGGGTTTTTTTTAAATTCCATCGTTGCGGACACATCTGATACCCTGTTTCTTCCTTAGGGGCTTTGGAAGTGCTCAGGAGGTGATTTGCCATGCCCTGTCCCAGTTCCTTTCACCTTGCTTGTGAACAAAATGTTATTTTGGGGTATTTTTTGATGTTGACTCTCTTGAACAGTCCAAGGGGTTTCTCCTTGGAGCTGCCACAAGAGCAGAACCTCATTTCTGGATGGGATGGGAGCGACATGAGATGCTGCTGTAGGATGCCAGCAGTGAGGGTCCTGGTCCAGTGCCACTCTGTCCCTGGCACTGTGCCATGGCTGGTGGGTTCTGTGCCATCCTGGTGTCATGGCAGCCCAAAAAAGTGGGAAATGAGGATGCTCAGGGTGTCACAGCTCTGCTCAGCACTGGGTCCAGGGCTCACCCCAGCACCTTCCCTGCATTTCCACAGAAAATGGGCTGGGAGAACCCACTTGGCTGCTCTGGGTCTGCCCCCCAGCCCCCCACAGCCCCCACATCCCAGCGAGCCCCTGAGCAGCACAATAATCACTTCCAGCATCATTATCCATCGCAAACCCCAGCTTCCAATTTTAATCAGAGGAGCTGGTGTTGCTTTAAGATCTGCGGGTTTTAAAGATCACAAGAGGGGTTAGAGAAAATTACCCTTGACTCTTACATGCTAATGTAATCTCTAACCAGATCTGCAGCACTGCAGCTAAAATTGCTTTTTAGATTAACATTTAATTATTAACAGGGCCCCCTGAAAGGCCCGGGGCTGGAGCACGCGGAGGGGAGCGGATTAGCCGGGCGGGATGAGGGAAGGTCGGGCCAGGGAAGGTCATGGGGTGACCTTTGGTGACAAACTTCGGGTTTTATTTTACCTGCTGCTCCCCGTGGTTCACAGTGGGGTGATCTTTCTGTGCTCACCCCTTGTAGGGCTGAGCTGTGGCATTGCTGCATCCCCTCCACCCTAAATCTGGATGGGAGATGGATATGGCAGTGCCAGGCAGCAGCACCAGCCAAAATCCTGCTCAATGTGCAATGGGGTGGGCATCCACTGTGTGCAGAGGGGAGTCCTTCCTCCTCTGGCACCTCCTCACCCTCGCCATGGGATGGGGAATCAGTGTCTGTGGGACCAGTGGTGGTGGCAGTGGCAGGGGATGGTGGCAAGGAGCTCAGTGTCCCCGGGGCTGTGAGGTGGTTGGATTCTCCTCCATCCATGTAAGGACAAGGGACAAGGGTGTTCCCAGTTGTGCTCTGCACACCAGGGGCCAGTGAGGGCTTTTGCTTTGTTTCTCTGGCTGCTGCCAGCCTTGGCCTTGCCCTGTGCTGTCCGTGTGTCCGTCTGGCCCTGTCAGGAGCCTCCTGAGCTGGGTCACCCCTCTCCTCCTGTCCTTGTGCCAAATCCAGTGCTGGCTTTTGATAGCCAGGGGTCATGTCCATGGTGTGACTCAAACAGCTTTGCAGCTTCCCTGGTCCTGCCCCCCTTTCCTCCCCCAACCCCAAAAGCTCCCTTTTGATAAAATTGCACCCCAATAACACCTGGGGAAGGATCTGGATGTGTTCCACCACAGCCTGGATGGTGACCAAGACCTTGTCCCTCACCATCCCTGCCCTGCCACAGCTCAGCAGCCACACAGGCCCACTTCAGGCTGAGACTTTAAAAGTTCCTTTTTTCTTTTCTCCCCCCCTCCCGTCACATTTTCTTTTATCTAAATCCTCGCCTGCAAAAGCCTCTATCGACAGCTGCGCTGGCCTTATCTCGCGGGAGGGACCTTCGCAGGGCTCTCGGAGGAGATAAGCCCGACTTATCAGCTGCTGATGTCAGAGGAGGTGCCAAACCCTCCCATCACTGGGGCTTTAGACATAGAGGGTGGTGTTTTTTATTAAAGTCACAAAGACCTTGGGCTTATAAATAGTGTGATGTCGAGATGGATTAGCTGGGTGTGGGGCAGGATGGAGTGGTGGGAGAGGCGAAGGATGGAGCTGTGGCTGCCCCATCCCTGAAAGTGTCCAAGGTCAGGTTGCACAGGGCTTGGAGCAACCTGGGATAGTGGAAGACATCCCTGTGCATGGCAGGGAGTGGGACAGGACATTTCCAACCCAAAATATTTGGTGATTCTGTGATGCCAGAGTTGTGGGATGTGGGGCTGGGGTTCCTTGCTCCAGATGTCCTCAAGATGACCCCACCGTTGGTGGGGCTCACTGTTGGTGGGGCTCACTGTTGGTGGGGCTCACCCTGTGCCCCAGTGCTGGATCATGGTGTGTCCACGTGCCCAGCCTGGGCAGAGGCCGTGCGGACTGGGGGGCGTTCCAGCAAAACTGCTGAGTGTTGCCTTCCCTGCCACGAAAGAGCCAGAGCAGCTTGGACTAAATCGGATCCTGCTGATTGGAATTAGTTCAAATGCAGATGGAGCTAACTAAGCCGGCGCTAAGCGTTGGACAGCCCAGCGCCCAATTCCCATCAGCTGATTCAGGGGCTTTTCGCAGCGGCATTAGCGAAATGCCACCGTGGCACAGATGCCCATTGTGCCAGGCGCCCACCCGCTCGCCCACGGCCCTTCTGGGGCTTGGGGCTCCCTGCAGGGTGCTGGGATGGACAGATGGACGCTGTTCTGGGGTTGTGGCACCAGAACCTTGTCTATGAAGGTGGGGTGAGGTGCAGCATAGCTGTCGGAAAAATCATCTGGGCTGCGAGACGATTCAGCAGGGTCTGAATTAATCTGTGCCTTTATTCAGTTTGGCATGTGGCTGTGATAATCCAAGCCCAGGGTCAGGATGGCTCCAGGAGGGAGCTGGGCTGTGCGTGGCAGGACACAGAGAGCAGTGGTGGGGACAAGCTGTGCCAGCGTAGGGCTCGGCTGGGCCCTCAGCTCCTGTGACAGGCTGCATCCACACCCACCCTGTGGCCGCCACATGGGTTTGGTGACCCCCTTGGGTGCTTTCTCAGCCCCGCATGCCCCAGGGACCAGCAGGAAACTGATCCACGAGCCGCCCACGCCGCCCGTGTCTGCCAGGGACACGGGTCAGTGTCCCCATGAGGAGCTGCTGGGCACAGGGAGCGGGTGACGTCCGCCACTAATCGGCCAGATGGTGACACCCGGCGGGACGCCAGCCCTGAGGTCACCACGGAGCTCAGGCTCAGGTACAGCAGGAGCTGGTGCCACCATCCATCTCCTGCATGTGCTTTGGTCAGAGCCACCCTTTGGGGACAGGGATGAGGTGAGGGTGGCAGCTCCCTCATGGAAAATCCGGGATGCCAGCCCTGAGGTCACCGTGGAGCTCAAGCTCAGGTGCAGCAGGAGCTGGTGCCATCATCCATCTCCAGCATGGTGCTTTGATCAGGGCCACCCTTCAGGGAGTCAGGGTGGCAGCTCCCATCATGGCAAATCCGGGTGCTGGGCACATTCCCAGAGAGCCAGGGCTGCGTAATGAACCCCGAGTCCCGGCGGGGAGAGGAGAACTCCTGGCAGTCAAGTGCGTTCAGGCTCTGAATAAGAAGCACTTCATTCTCCTTTCAAATTGTATAATTTCTGCCTGATTGTAATGGCATATTTTAAAATTACCAGAAATCGAAGCCAGAAAATGGATACGGCTGCTTTTACTGCGAGCTGCGTTAACAAAGGATATGTAATGCATGAAATAAAAACACCTCCCTGCCCCCCTCCTTTTTTTTTTTTAAGACAGTAATAGGAGAAAATTGGTTTTGAAACTGAATAAAAGTCCCTTTCAGAGGAAATCATTTCTTTCAGGGTACCTTTGCTGAAAGTAAAATAGTGAATAATGAAAGGTGGTTACATGATTGTCTTTCATTTAGAGAGCGCGAGGACAGATGGAATCTGGGAGAAATGCACGATTGGAATAATTGCATGGTAACAAGGCGCTTGTTGTGAAATTAGTATCTTAAGAAAGTAGTGAAAAAGGCTTTTACTCATGAATACTTCATTATTAGGAGAAAACAGCACAATTTGGGTTCTCCAGACACCTGCTCGGTATTAGATGACTTCCTCCCCTCCTCCTCCTCCTCATCCTCTTCCTCCTTCTCCTCCTCTTCCTCACACCTTTTCCTGACGAGTCTCTCCTTGTCCCTGGTTTGCTGGGGGAGTCAGGGTGAGACCCTGAGCCTGATGAGCCCAGCTGAGGTGTGGATGCCCTGCATGGATCCCGTTGGGGGATTATCCCAGAGCCTGGCGGAGGGCACAGAGCAGGAGCGAGCAGCACAGGTCCCATGGTGGCTGTGAAGGTGTTTTAAAGGGTGACATTTAGACCAGCAGAGCTTGGAGAACCCCAGACACAGCTCAGGGAGCATCAATCCATGCTTTGTTTCCTGGTGCTGATGGTCACGGGCTCTGCCAGAGGCCACCACGTGCCTGAGGCCACCACGTCATTCCCCTGCACTGGGACATGTGGGAAACATCCTGGATGGCTGCAGGAGGGCACGATTCCCCCACGAGGGAGAAGATGGAGTGATGGACCCAGCAGTGACACCATCCATGATATCCACTTGTGACCCCGGGCCATCCATGAACGTTCAGCCAGAGAGCACCAGTGCAGGAGCTGCAACACTGGTGGATGGGCACCATGCCCGCTTTTCTGCTGCTCCTGCCCACGTCTCCCTGCCCTCTCCGAGTGGGAATATCATCCCTGTGCCAGCTGGAGCAGTGGGAGGGCGTCAGCAGCAACTGGTTGTACCTCAGGGCCCCGGCTGGGGATGGATGTACAACGAGCAGCACCTCGGTGACGGCGGCTTTGGCCTGGCCCCTCCAGCTTTTGTCACACAGATTTTGATGCCAGCTGGGAGCTGGCGACAGATCCCAGGACCCCGAGTGGGATGTTAGCACTGTCTTTCCCCAGCCTTGACTGGGGTCACTCTGTGCCAGGAGGCACCAGCTGGCACGCCTGGCACCACCATGACGCCTGGCGCCACCACATTCCCGTTGGGAAGGGTGGGAAGCTCCGCAGGAAGCGCAAACCACCTGCCGAGACCTTCATCTTTATTTTATATACATCCCTATTCACTCCAGGCTTTCAGCGCTGGCTGTTTATCTCCAGAGGAGCGAAGGCACCGAGTGCTGGGGAGCTGCACGGGGGTGGTGGTGGCACGGGGGTGGCAGGTCCCTGGCTCACCGTGTGTCTCCTCTCTTGCAGGGCGTGGGGCGGCAACGCCCGCAGGGAAGCCCAGACCATGCTGGCCTGCCTGCAGAGGACCCAGAACCCCCCAGCCCAGCACCTCCCCTGCCCCAACAAGGCGCTGGAGCCACGCAAGTGTAAGTGCCCCGGGGGCGGGCGCCCGCTTTGATGCTGTTTCCCTTATTGAAAAAGACATTTATTTAACCGATAATTAAAAAGAGCAGGAGAAGCGGGGAGGAGAGCGGGGGGGAGGAAGGAGCCAAGATAAGCAAATTAAATTGGGTTCTGTGGTTGATAAGTCCAACTTCAGCAAACGTTGCAGGGCTGGCTGGGAAGCTTGGCGGCAGCCGAGGATGGTGCAGCCGGCCCCCCAAACCTCCCCAGCCCTTCCCCCCATAATTACTTTCCCCGTTTGTGCTGCAGCTCGCCTTCCCCAGGAGCTGGCCTTTCAGATAAGCTGTAAACTAGTTACATTAAAATGGGATCCAAAAGGTCACTCCAGCAAAGCACCTGTCTCTCCCAGCCTTTGTCTCTCAATCCAAACCGTGATTAAATGTATATTTAATGAGCCTGCTTTAGGCAGGCGTGTTTGACCTCCCCGGCTGGGAAAGACGCATTAAGATTCTCAAGTGATGAATGTGTGTTTTAAAGAGGGGAGTGGATATTTTTCTGCTGGTCTCAGTTGGATTTTTAAACATTGCTGGCTGAAGACAAATCAGCTGCTAAAGCTCTGCTTGTTAGGCTGTGACAGCCCCCGGGTGTTTGTTTAATGAGCTGGATTTTCCTGTAGATGTTTTTTTTTTTTCCCCTCTACCTGGGCATTCTGAGCAGCCAGGTGAGCTGGGCATGGGGTTTGGGCAAGCTGGGCATGGATTTTGGATGATGCTCAGCATCCCTGGGGACCTCCAGCATTGCACTGCCAGCCAGGAGGGTTATTTATCCCTAGAAGTTCTTTTATCCCTCAAACATGTTCATGTCCCTGGATAGGGCTTGGAGCAGAAGGTTTGCCTGCTCGTAGCAGAGCGGGGGAAGTGAATGATCTTTAAGGTCACTTCCAACACAAACCATTCTGGATTCCATGATTTTTTGTGTGAGGCTCCCCATGGCCAGCACAGGGAATAGGGCAGCCATGCCAGAGGTGGGGTTTTGGGCACCCAGATGTCACAATGCAGGAAAGGAAGTGTGTCTGGATGGAAAAAGGATGCTGTAAAATTATGAAAAAAAAGGAAAAAGGACGCTGCTCTTGTAAAATTATTCGTAATCCATCACGCCTGAGCATCGTGGCAGCATGGGCCTGGTGAGAGATGTCCAGCTGCTGGAGCATCTCCTGTCCATGGAATAATGAGCTCAGCCATGCCCACATGGTCTGAGACCCACGGGCAGGATGAGCCTGACAGGGTTTTCTGGAGACTGGAGTGTTCAGCGTTGAGAATCTCTGTGTGAGCTCACTGTGCTCCTGAGGTCAGGATACACCTGCAGGTCCCCACAGCATTCCCAACAGAGCTAAGGCCCAGCTCAGCTCATGGAACAAAGCCCAGAGGCACCTTCCTGCTGGGGGGACTGGTGCTTTCTAGCATTTCCCACCCTGCCATAGGTGCTGGAATAAGGAGGGTTTGGGAAGCAGGAGCTCTGATGTGGTGTCACATACAGTGCCATGGGTGTGACACCATATGTGTGGAGCATCTCTCACTGGGTGTGAGGGATCCTTCTGGATACAGCTGCCTGTGTCCTGGGAGGGTCCCAGCCCCAGGATCCCAAAGCTCCTGGAGATGTCCCAGTGGGAAGAGGGCAGAGGTTTGGGCCCTGGCAGTGCGGGGTACCCTGGAGACAGTTTTTGACTGATCTCACTGCATCCCTCAGGCAGCACCGTGCTCACATGAGATCTCCAAGAGATTTGTGTCCCCTGGGATGGGTGGCAGCACCCAAGCTCCTGCCCAGGCCCCCACGCTGCACTCGCCACGGGCTGCCACCAGCCAGATCACCTTAATCAAAGTTTAGCTGCCCGTATGTTTCTGCTCATTACGGGCAAAGCCGGCACGTCTCGCTCCTCGCTGCCTCCTGCCAGCGCAAATTAAATTGCAGGTGACATCCAGGGCCACGCATCTGGCTTGGAATACAATTTTCCCTTCCTTATTTATGGCACCTGTGGGGGAAGCAGGGTGGAGGGGCTGGGAGCAGGCTCGGGGCTGCCACCGGAGCGCCCGCCGGGGACTCGGCGCGGAGAGCGCGCTCTTCAAACCAGGCGCAATTTAGAAGTGCCTCTGATTACTTAATTTGCTCCTGAGTATCTCAGTAATTATCTTTATGGGTCTTATTTCTGTCCTCTGGCATTGTTTCTGTCGATATTAAATGAGTCTGGCTCTCGGCACGTTGGCCGTCTGGCCCGGCACCACTGTGAAATCCTATTATCCCGCCCGCGCCGCTGATTAATTTTGGTATTAATTTCACGTAAAAGGTGAGCTGACTCATTTTCCTTCCCATGCAGGGAGCTGCTGGTGCCTTCACCCCTCGGTTCTGCCCCTGGCCTTTCCTGCTGATTGTTGTCCCCCCATCTCTGTGCCTCCCACATTGGTGTGGTTGCATCCCAGCGGGTCTGGAGCATCCCACAAAATCCATCCTGATAGAGCTGGAGGTGACTTTGCTGCTGTTGCCTGTGGTATTCCCAAGGCTGTTCCATAGGAACCATGCCTTGAGGAGGATGCAGGAAGGTGCCAGAGCCCTTCCAGCCCTGTCTGTGCCTCCCTCCTGCAGCAGAGGAGCAGGAGCCTGCAGAGCACAGCAGCATCCTCAGGAAAATATCACGTCCAATTAACTCCAGCAGCCTGGTCCCTTTTGATTTTATCCTGGGCACATTACAGGAATCCTGAGCTTTATTTAAATTATAAATCAAATAATGCCCCTCTCAGCTTGGCCAAACTCTTGGGTTGCTCCCACTCTCTCAGCAGTCACGGAGCAGTGGATGGTATTTAATGAAATGTTATATTCCATGTGCCCTCCTCCAGCCAGCCTGGGGCTGGGAGTGTGGCAGGGAGCAGGATGCCCCCTATGGCTGCCCCTGGATCCCTGGAAATGTCCCAAGCCAGGTTGGACAGGGCTTGGAGCAACCTGGGACAGTGGAAGTTGCCCCTGCCCATGGCAGGGATGGCACTGGATGAACTTTAAGGTCCCTGCAACCCAAACCCAAACCAGATTCTTTCACAAATCTCATTCTCCATGCCAGGGGGTCCCACAGGAGCTGTCACCTCAGCCCCATGGGGACAGTGTGATAAATGGCTCTTTGGGGGTGGCACAAACCCTCACAGGGTATTTAATACCCTCCCTGGGTATTTAAACACTAACGAGGGAATGGCCCTAATGAGAGGTGATGGCCAGGGCTCCCTGCCGGGGACTCAGCTCCAGGGTCACCCATAGCTCTCCCTGCACCTGTGGGGACTCTAATCAGTGATAAACAGTTAATTGCACTCGGGATGAGGCCCCATTTAATGGCCTCTCGTTACCCAATTCTGCTTGTTCCAAGGGCATTTTCATTAGAGTGGCTGCAGCGAGGCTTTGCTTTTGTACACACCCATAAAATATCATTTTAATTTCATGAGGGGTTACACATGAGTGAAGTAAGATTAATTCTTTCATTTTCAGTTTCTGCAAGGGATCGGTTAATGATGGTTCTGTGTATTTATATACATGCCATAAAAAGGAGTTCAATTAACTGCTGGGCCCAAAATGTGCTGTTGACTTGGCACTTTCCCTGCCAGGAATTGCTGCAAAAACACTTTTCCATTGGTCATGTGTGGAGGGTGAGGTGGGGCTGCTCAGTGCCCATCTCCTGCCAGGTTTGGGGTTGCTTTGGCTGGTTATGGTGCATTGCACAAGGTTTGGTTTGCGTCCAAACTCCCCAGGATTGTGATGGTCCATTGGCCACAGAGCAGTGGCAGACCCCAGGATGGGGCACCCTGCTTTGGGGGTGCCCACCCTGCTCTTCTCAGCAGAAACAGAACCTGTGTCTTAAATTAATTAAACTATTAGTTGGTTGTGGATGAGTGAGCAGAGGGGCTGTGGGCAGCAGGGGATGAGCTGCAGGGACAACAGAGGTGATGGGGTCCCCTCCTGATGGCATCAGGGCATCAGAGGTGGCACTGTGATGGCATTGGGGTGGCAGTTATGTTGGGGTGGCCTCAGGGTGCCTTGGGGTGGCTTTTTAGGGCTCTGTTGGCTTTGGATGGGTGGCACTGGGGTGGCAGTTGTGTTGGGTGCTTGGGCAGTGTTGGGTGGCATACAGGTGACATTAGGGCAGTATTGTGGCAGCATCAGCTGAAGTGGCACTTGAGTATCATGAGAGTGGCATCGGGGCAGCATTAGGGTCCATAGGGTAATATCAGGATGGCTTTGGGGTGGCACTGGGGTGACAGTGGGACAGCATCAGGCTGGCTCTGGGATGGCACCGGGACATCCTCGCGCAGGGGCACAGTGGCTGTGGTGGCTGTGGTGGCACAGAGCACGGTGCCTGTGCAGGGCTAATACCTCGTGGAGGAGACAAATGGGAAGTGACACGTGTGTGTGTAGACGGGTATTTGTGGTGACGCTTTGACTGCAGATAATAAAGTGCTCGCCCCGAGGTGATCCAATTCAGCAGCCGCCTCGGCAGAGCCGCGCGCGACGAGGGGGAGAAGAAAGGGGAGGAAGAAAGGCCCGTCTGAAATGACATGTCAGCCTAAAAAGGGAACGTGTTAACGGATGAATATCTGGGGACGGCGAGCCCGGCGCTTCCCTTTGTGCTTTGTCATGAATTTTGTTGTCTTTGCAGATTCCGGCGCTGCCGCCGCCGCGCGGGGTTTGCCACCTACGGTTATTCAGATGGATTCCTCCCGCTGTTATTGCTGGAGCTGGGTTAATTTAAGCCCCCAGAGCTGGGTTTGTCTCGGCTCCTGGCACTGGGGATGCTCCACGTCAGGGCTGGGGGGTCCCACAGTTGGGGCTGTGCTGTGGGGACACAGCAATTTTGGGGACATGAGTCGTGCTGCTCCTTCAGTGATGGGGAGGGCCGGCAGGGACCCTCATGGCACTGCTGCACCACCCATCCTGGGGACACTGCCACCACTCTGTGCCACCCATCCTGGGGACACTGTCACCATAGAAACTG